GGTCAAAGGCACAGAGTGGGAAACAGGGGGTGCAGCCTGGCAAAGCCCTGCAGGCAGAGGGACCGAGGGCTCTGGACATTGCTCCTTCCCCCACCTGGAAAAGAGAGATCTTCTAGCTGAGTCCCTCTCTTCACAGAACAGAAAGGAGATCCACCCAAGTGAAGATGAGCTGGCCAAAGGCGCTGCCCAGGCCAGGAGGTCTGGCCAGCCAAAGGGATACTTGATTTCATACCAACTTGTAGGAGAACAGTTTGGGGAAAGTCCCTCTCCAGTAGACCATTTCTGTGAGAGACAATGAGATAACCATTATGAAAGTATTTTGAAAAGTTAAAAAACCCTATTTACGTAAAGTGAAAATGTTTTCTTGGAGGGTGAAGAGCATTGAAGAGAAAGAAAGGAGAGTCAAAGAGCCCTCTGGATGGGATGTGTGAATACATAGGTTTTGGGGAGGGAGGTACAAACGGACAAACGTTACACTGCAAACCCTTCCTTCAAAAGCTGTGTCCCCCACGCTGCCTCCACTCCGAGTGTGACCTCGCTCTTTGCTTTGCTCCAAGTGAAGCAAACACAACCCTGTTCTTATGACCCAAAGTGAACCTTTTGTGAGACCATTCGCACGGGCCCGGCCTCCCCCAGCCTGGGACACGTCGCCTTATCTCCCACAAGCTGTGAAGGTGGAGGTCGGGAGAGGGTTTCCAGTGAGCAGGGTGTTAGCGGAAAAGAGGACTGAGGTTTCGGGGGAAGGGAGCGGGACTTGAGCTGCAGCTCCCCATCAATCGCTTGGGCTTCTCTTACGTTCTCTGCCCTCAAGCTCTTCTATGACCGTCGGTTTACTAGGGCTCCCAGGGGAGGCGTCTGCAGCGCTCTAGCCCCTCAGTCCTGCAAAATAAGCTTCTGGGTATGGCACCAAAAGCAAGATAGTGGGGGCATGGATTTTGTAATGTTCCAGAAGCCACTTTTATTTCATTTGGAATGAATGAGGGTTCTTTTCATACATTTAGATTTACTTGTGACTACATCTCTTTGGCTGAGACTGATATTATAGTGACCTACAGTAGTAAATTATAAGTATGTCTTCACGTTGAGAGACTATGACCTGGAGGAGATGGTTCTCCTTCTCAGAGAGGATTCTGAGAAAAAGGAGTCAGGAGCTAAGGGAAAGGAATCAACTTGTGGGAATATAGATTCCTATCGTCCGCCATCCACGCTCAGAGCCTGATTCTCTGACTGTAAATGCAAGGATGGACCAGAGGTCTCCTCGCAGCTCCCAGGGCAAATTCTCCTGAGGTGAGAGCAGGGGCTTGCAGGGCCAGCTGGACAAGAGCAGGTGAGCCCACCTGCTGCATCCCAGGCAGCCCCCTGGGCGGCGAGGACAGTGATATCCCAGAACCACTGGCCTGCTCCTTAGGCTTCCTGCTCCCACCTGGTATCAGCGTTTCTCATTTGGCTCCTTAGGTCGCACCAGCTCCCAGATTCTCTAGCCAGAACTGTGACAGATGAGTGCCCTCTAGGTGTAAAGAACTGGAACCGACGTCCTCTGGGTTCTCCCTTCCTGTCAAGGTTCTCAGAAGCTTCCGAGTAGATGCCACACCCATCAGGCTCAGGGAGGAGGCTGCTGAGAGGTGCAATGTACTGGTTTAGTCTTTACCACCGAAATCCCCTAGAAGGGGCCATTTAGGTCTTAATCTGTACAATTAGGATGGAAACCCTAGCAGGGGGTAGAAAATTGAGCAGGCCACTGAAGGGGGGCCTTGGTCTTTGTACTAATTCTGTGGTTGTTGGAACTCAAAGTTTGTTTCTCGATAAGTACTTCAGTGTCATTGGAATCTAGTGTGAGGATTAGAGCCTCCCAGGTAGCTTCAGAAAAATGCAAACAGCTGGGCCTGTCCCTGCAGATTTATTTATTTATTTTTTAATATATCTTTATTGATTTCAGAGAGAGGAAAGGAGAGGCAGAGAGAGAGATAGAAACATCAATGATGAGAGTCATTGATTGAGCCCACAACCCAGGCATATGCCCTGATGGGGAATCAAACCCCGATCGCCTGGATCCTAGGTCGACGCTCAACCACTGAGCCACGCCCGGCTGGGCTGTCCCTGCAGATTTAGCAGCTCCAAGATTAGTCCTGGGGTAGTTATGGTGATTCTAATGGATGGCCAGGTTTAGAGCCTGCTCCTAGGGAGTTCAGCCCGGAGCTGAAAGTTCTGCTATTGGGCAAATCCTCCCCTCCACTCTCAATTTTTCCATATCTCAGGTGGGGGGAATTATACTCAGGTTCTTGTACCTTCCTCACTCTCTCCAAGTGGGGAATGCTGCTTCTCCTCCCCCCATTCCCCTCAGAAATGAACCTATTCCCCAGAGCTGTCTCAGCCCCCAGATCCAGCTGCTAGGCCTTCAGGGCTTCTTCTTGGAGGGAAGTCTTTGGAAGTGGAGTAAGACAGCACATCAATGCTCTTTCCCAGCTAAAGTGGCAGGGAGGTCCCCACTCCAGTCACTCCAGGGATGGAGCCAATGACCAGGTGCTCCCCCCAAAACACCTGCACTCCCTCCCCATCACGTCTTAGCAGGTGCTGGGACGCACCCTTCTCTGTCTGTCCATCTACAAGGTTCCATCTAGTCTCTCATCCCTCCAAGCCCTCTGGCCACAGTGTCCACCTACTGTGACTGCTCCCTTTTCTGAACCCCCTTAGCGTTTATTACACCTCCTAGTAACTTAGCTTCTCTCTCTCAGTGCCTTGTATTGAACTAAGTTTTCTTATGCTCGATGATATGATAAGCCCTTGAGGATAAGTTTGTTCTGCTTTTTATTCCTGCATCTCCCTCCCTGCTTCTCTCTTGCACAGAGTCTCTCAGTGCCCGCCGGTTGTCACAGGTACCTCCAACCTCTTCACCATTTGCAAGCAGAAGAGGAAATGTGGGTTTATCAGCTGGTGAATGTTCCTGAGTGATTTGTGTTTCAATTCTGAAAGCTGGCTGTTTCTTCAATTAGCTAAGATAAGGTGCTATATTTGTGAACCATCCTGTGAACATCATTGAAGACTGTCATATACACAGCATTGAAGGGTCCTAACTCTCCTATCTAACCTGGGAAGACAGCACTCTGCCTCTTAGAGACACATCCTGGGTAAAGGCCTGGGTTACCAGAGAAAAACTAAACAGTCCTGGCCACATTGCTACTTGCACTTCCTTACCAAGCCCCCAGCTCTTGTAGCTTCTGCCCCAACATGTTGTGGGGTCTGTACATCACACAGCACAGTGCTCAGGATGTCTGGAGTCAGACTGTCCAGACTCCAATCTGTTAGCTGTACACCATTGGGCACATCACATAAACTGTGTGCACCAGTTTCCTGTTGATATAAAGGAAATACCAGCATCTCTTCAGAGGTTTATTATGAAGATTCCATGAGTTACTACAAGTAAAGCACTTGGTAAGCTCTCAATATGTGTTAGTTGCCGCCATGATTATTATCGGAGAAGCAGTACCGGGAAGCAGACGACCTTTTCCTGTCTCTCTGTTATTTGCTTTGTGACTTTGGACTTAGGGACCCCAAGATCTCCATTTCTTCATGTATCAAATTAAAATGCTGATGGTGTCTGGTATGCCTATCTCACAGAGTTGCAGTGAGAGTCCAATGAGCTGGTACACATGAAAATGTTTGCGAACTACAGAAACTTAAGCAAATGTAGGATAACAAATGGCCCCTCTTTTTGCCTGCACCTGTATGATTGCACATCCTGTTATGCTTCATGTAGTGGTTACTTATATTACCTGCCTCCTCTACTGGCCTGTGAGCTCCTTCAGGCAGAGATCACATTTCGCTCTCTTCCATCAACCACGGCATCTAGCCTGATGCTGGCACATGGTATGTACTCAGCAAATGGGGAATTGGAAAAGTAGCAGCCTCCTTGCGTGTGTTTTTCTGGGATGGGTTGCTCCCCGTTGAACTGCATGAGCTAGGACTGTCCCCGATCACATGTAGCTTCCCAGAGCACATACCTGTGAGCAGCATCTGTACGAAGGGGCCCGTCCTTGGAGCCAGACACCCAATAGACACTAACTGTGGGGACACTCTGGCCTGCCGCTCCACTCCTGGGACCTTCCTGGGCTCTGACCCCTGGGCTCAGCCAGCAGTCTTCTGGTCTTCATCAGATCTCTCAATTAGTCTCCATACTATTGGAGACTAATTAATATTAGTTCAGTTGCCCTAGACAGTCCAACCAGGGAAAGTGAGAAATCAAACCTCAGCATTTTGTAGAGCAGCTGAGACATCAAGGCCTTGCTTTTCCTCCTTCCCGTTTGGAACTCTTCCCGAAATGACAACCTTGGCTTTGGCCTCTCTGCTCCCTGCTCCTGTATCTTCGTGGGGTAGGGTGGGGGGTCTCAGAGGATGCCACTTGCCTGATGGTGTTCTGTATTATTTCTGTATCCTTCAAAACTCCCACCTGGTGCTGTACACAGAGGAAGCAGCAGACACATAGTTGCTGATTGGGATTAAAAGGGCCTAGGAAACCAAAATGAGTAGACTCATTGGGAGATTAATTGCACAGGAGTCCGTTGACCGCATGACTAAAGCTGGATTTTTTCGGAACCACTGGCTGCCTTCACATTTCCTGATGGAAGTGAGACAGGTCAACAGAGTCATAGATAACTTTTGCCCACACAACATTCACTTTTTGGAGTGTTGGCTTGAAATTGAGGTGTGTGTGTGCGTGTGTGTGTGTGTGTGTGTAACCGACGTGCCTTCCGTGAGCCTCAGAGGTCTCTGCACCCTCTTCAGATGAGCTGATTACAACACAGAGGATGTGGACAGTGGAGTTTTTCCTGGTTGATGTCACACTGCTACCCTTTAAAAGCCCAAGGGGTAAAGGAGGGAATCCAGCCTGGGATCCTCACAGATACCAGCAAGGAAGACAGGAGAAAAAGGCCAGTGAGGCCAGCCCTGGAATCAGGGAGGCAGTGTCCGATTTCAACTCCGCGCCAGCCACTCAGAGAGCAGCGATGTCAGGGACCCGCCTTGGGTTCCTGGTCTGCGTCCTGTGCTGTGCGGTCAGAGCCTATCCCAATGCCTCTCCGCTGCTCAGCTCCAGCTGGGGTGGCCTGATCCACCTGTACACGGCCACAGCCAGGAACAGCTACCACCTGCAGATCCATAAGGACGGCCATGTGGACGGCTCACCTCACCAGACCATCTACAGTGAGTAGGGGCTTCGTTCAGGCTGGGAAGAAGGGGGCGCTCCTATGTCCATCCCCCTACCAGGGACTTGGGGAGACCTTGGGCTAGACCAGAGGGCTAATCCAGGCTCCTAGCTTCCTGCCCAGAATCCACTTATT